CATGATGAGTTACTGCCACCACGTAAAAGTGAGATTTAAATGCTGGCAAGCCAAAAGAATGACAAATGCCCACTACAGATTTTTGGAGGTACAATTATTCTTAGTAGAAAGCAACAATATTTCAACCTTTTTGTCACATAGTCAGGAAAATCAATACCGAAATTTACCTGGCGTTTCCCAGACCAGGCTCACAAGTAGAAGGGATCTTACTTCCCAGGGTCACTGAAGCTCAGACTCCCATCCTTCGTCTCACTGGAGAAAGCACTTTTGGTGGTCTACCCACAGGATAGTCTACTCTTCTTTCTTACCAACCCAATTATGCTTTATTCAGACTCTCACCTCTTCTGTACAACCATATGCCTCGCAGCACCCGGTCCTGTCTTGTGCAGTCCTGACCCAGTGCTCCCTGAAGCCTCACCATGGGCTTCGGCAGAGCACACATGGCAGTCTGACAAGTGAGAAAGGGGAGGCTCCATGAGGGATTTGAGGGGAAGCTTTCCTAATCGTTAAGAGAGGTTCTCAGGGAGAAATTCAGTCTCTTTTCTCTGTGCCGTGTCATGTCTGAAGGTGATGCTTGGGATGACTGCAACCATCCACCCCACATCTGGAGATGAAGCCAAAAGTTACATAAACGTGGGGCCAGAAGAATTCCGGAGGAAAGGAACTGGGGCTCCGTCCTAACTTCTTATAATAGGACAGAATCAATCCTGTCATTAGAAGGGCCTTCTAGGGTTGATTTCTTGTTATCTGAGCTAACCACATATAAACCAGTCCATCCCACTTTGGTTTTTATCAAGCTATCCCTCCATGTCCTGAAGAATAAACCATGTACAGTTGATCCTCTGTTTTCACAGTGGTGAAGGACTCATTAATGGGAGAGCAACGATACCATAATTACTTCCACGTGAATCTTAAGAGAGAATAGTGCTTTACTTCCTCAGCTCACATTTAACTTTTCCCCATGTCTTTATTAGTCCCGTTGGCCTTTATTCGTGAAACATTGTGGACCGTGTCACTTGTTAGCAAAGAAAGTACAACAAAAAATTCTCCTACCCAATAGTTCACAGTCTTTTGGTGATATCATATGCAATTGCATATATCAATGCAAGATATGCAAGATGTTTGATCTGACAAATATGCACTGAAATAACAAATTATTTCCCATATTAGTGTTTAAATATTACATTTTTGGGAACCTGATGGATACAAGAAATCTCTCTTTACTGCATTGTCAGTTGTACAGAAAGACCTATTGCATAAGGAAAGTCAGAAATCACACATATCTATTGAGCATTTCCTGTGTTCCATAGACGCGTAGGGTACATAGATGCTGGGTGAAGCGCGGTCAACGGGAACAACAGGGTCCTTATTCTTATGGAGTTTACAGACTATATGGGCAGTCAGACTAACAAACAGGCAATTATAACACAGCGTCATAAATGCTCTTATATGGTGAAACGTGTGAAAATATAAGAGGCGTACTTAACTCAGAATTAGGAAGGGGGTGGGGTGGGTTCCTGGAAGAAATGCATCAAACTTGAGTCCTCGATACTGGATTGAAGTAGGCAAAGGAGAAAAGAATACGTAGAGACCTGCATGTGCAAAGAACTAGAAAAGGGAGAAAATATGCATTGGGCATCTGCAGAAAGAGAAAGTGGCTAAGTTCGGGTGGGAAGCACCAGATGGGATTGGAAAGGTACAGAGGTACCAGACCACAAGGGACACTTTTAAGTTACATTAGGGTGTTTGGACTATATTCTGAGTGTAGTGGGGATTTGTGTGTACCTTTGATGAAGGGCATTCTGGCTGCATGATAGAGATGGGTTGGAAAGAGACAGAGCAGAAGCAGTACCAGTAGTAGCCATCCAGGCAAGATACTGTAGGGTGGCCGTCAAAGAGGTAAAAGGGGGAGGGATCTTGGAGGAATACTTAGGACGTGAATCGTTACCTGAATGTGTTGGAAAGGGAGAGAGAGGCATTAGAGATGACTCCTTGGCTGAGGTGGACAGAAGGGTTCCCTGGGGAAGGGCTGCCAAAAGGAACTAATATGGGCGAGGACAGTGAGTTCAGGTTTGAACATGACTCTTAGTTATCTGTAGGGTATCTCGTGGATACTGGATTTGGGTCAGCAGTTGTGTGCGCAGGTATGGGGTTTGGACATGGGCTGGAGTCTCCGAGTTCCAATTGTTTTCATGTGCTGGATTCTTTATTATTGTTAATGATGCTTTTCCTTGTATAACTCAGTGTTCCAATGTGTAGCCTGAAATGCTTAAAAAACTATGGCTTCAGATGTCTAGAGAATAGTTACTGTGTACTAGGCACTCTTCATTCTTCTAACACTGTGAAGATATTACATCAATTATTCCTCAGAAAAACTACACAACAGGTACTTTTATTAACCCCATTTTATGGATGTGAAGGGAGGCACAAAGAAGTTAAGCAACCGGCCAAAGATCATAAAGCTCAGGAGCACTAGAGCTGTATTTGAACAAAGACAGTCAGACTCCCATTCCTGCACTTTATGTATCAGAATATACTTTCCTTAATACACTTTTAACTTTTAACCAGTGTATAGTGTCAGTTTTGTCCCTTAAGAATGTTTGAGTGGTCATCTTTGTTTTATTCTTTTCAACAACTCTACTATTTTTGAAATACTTTGGAGAACCACAATTCTTTTTACAGGTAATGTTAAATCATGCTTCTACTTTATATCATAATGTCAAATCTACTGCTAATTGACTTCCATACACATAAATATAAATTTCCATTTCAGATTCATGACTCCAGTTCTTTCCGTATTCATTGACTTGTAGGTTTGAAAGGGACTTGAAATCTTCTTCTTCAATTGCATATCCAACGTTTGACTTCATCTTGTCAAGTGGTTATTGTACCAAAACTTCTATAGTCTCAGTCACAGAATCTCCCTATGTAAATCACAGCTCAGTCTTCACAATTGTTCTCAATAACCTTTTCTCCACCACTGTTTTGCCCGCATCTGGAAAGCAACCTGGCACATGCAAAACGCACCATACATTTTGTGGAATGAATCAAGAAATAAATGATTGGTTATCAAGAAACCATGCTCACTATTCTTTAAATTTCTTTGAAATTCTACAAAGACAAAGCAAAACTGCTTTAATTCAAAATAGGTCTATTTTTTGTACAAGAGGAAGGCTAAAATAACTAAGGACAAGATTTGGGGGGTTTTTTGGGAAACAAGAGTTGACATATGTAGAATTCGATAACACCTGAAAATTTGGACTGCTGGGGGTCCAGGAAGACATGCTGTCTACCCTGAATACAGAGGCAGGCAAGTTGGAGCTGCTTCCTAAGCCTGGATAACTACCACTTCAGGCAGTTGAATTTCAGGCAGTTCAAATTCTTGAAATGTAAATTTGAACTTTATTCTTAATTGAGGAGGGAACCAAGAGCTCAAGTTGATGATCAATATTGGGCCAAAGTCAACTCGTAGATGAATAGTTGGATTTTTATGCTCTGTCTGTGAAAAGAAACCCGTAGTTCTGTATTGGACATGTCAAGTCCATGTGGTAGTCCTTTGTTGCCTCTTTTGGCTTATCCTAGCAGCACTATCCCAAACAGAACCCAGGAATAAATAGTTCTAATTTTAATACTTTTTATTATAGCAACACTAAATAAAATTTAAATTTATTTTCCATACTCCCATTGTTCCCAAATTTATTCCAGTGTTTAAAAAAAAGCATAAAAGATAATTCTGACAATTAACTCTGAAATAAATTTATTTAAATCCTGCCCCCTGGGTTCTAAGTAAAACTGCCTCACATGGTATGTTCAAAGCCAAAATTGGGGTTTAGATTTTTTATTCAGGGTTGCGCTTTTTCAATAAAGTTATTCATAACACCTGATGACCATGATGAATTTGTGGTTGTTAAGTTAGCTTTGGGCACTGCATCTCTAGGAGTCTGATTAAGTGGGAGTTGCGATTTGCTGTGCTCTGAGTTGCCAACAAAGCTGAATCTGTCATAGGTGCTACAATTTGTATTTCAGAAAATTTGCTTCCCCGACTTTAATTATCCCCAAAGTATTCCACTCTACATAAAGTACTGACAGGAGTCAGCAAATTTTTTTTTTCAGTTTCAGTACTGTGATATAAATTAGGATTTGTCTACTACCTACATGTTGTAGAGATGATGGAATTTCAAATGAAGGAGGGCACCCTCTGTTTTACAGTATAAAACACTATTTTCCACTCATTTTTTCACTTTGGATTAAAAAAAATAATACCAAGCAGCCATAACTAAATAACATTCACAGTGACATAAACCATGCTTCTTAGAAGGGATCAGGCGTGAATCAGATGGAAAGTGTGTAGGTTTAATTACTAATGATTGAAAAGGACAAGTCCTAAGTTCAAAGATATTAAATAAACTTGTGAGTGACTTTTTCTTGTTAACTATTATCATGTGTTTTAAACTCATGATGTAAGTATGTGTCGTTCCGTATTAGGCAGCCGGTCCTTCGCAGGGAGCCGAGGGGACTGGGCAGGTGGTGGAGATGGTTGTCACTCTGGGCAGAGCAGTCCCTCTTCACATCAGCATGTGCCAGTCAGGGTTTTGTGTTTTTTCCCATAAAACAAAATATTTGTTTTCAACACTTCAACATAAGAACCTGATGGAAAAATTTCCTTTGAATATTTCATTGCAGAGCCAGTTCCTTCAAAATTGACCTAGCGTGGCTTGCTAATTAGAGGAAGACCTTTGACCCTGGAAATTCATAAAAAGTCATTATGGCTACAAATTTTTTTTAACAGATTAATATTGTTTGATGTCTTAATTAAGGAATATGCTATAGTAAATCTCTGAAATATTTTAAAATGAGATTCTTCATCTTTTTGCATGTCTTTCTCTTGGTATTAATGCAATTCCAACAAATGGAAATGGTTAATTGAATTGAGAAATAAATATGTTCACTGGTAATTGCTTAGCCTTTGAATTGTAATTACAATTTTGTGTTCTTTGCAGGATTATTTAACCATTCATAAGTATGGCAATGCCGCCAGAAACGATCTCTGGAATGCACTATCAGAGGTAAGGCAGAGGAAGCTGGAATGTCAAACCTTTTCTTGAATATTTGAATTGAGTTTATAAAACATTCATAACTTTTATTGACACTGACTGTTTTTTCTTTTTATATTTCCATTTTCCTCGTGTTGCTTTCTTGTTTTATTTTAGATACATTATAAAGATAAGGGGATTTAAAATTACTTAAACTTCAAATGGTAGTAAAACTACCATTTCAAACATGACTACTTCTGAAATATAATTTTAATATGGTGTAAGATATTCATGTTAAAGAGAAAAATATTGGCATTTTAAAGAATTTTTTTGTGTGTGAATAACAAAAATTTAAATTTGATAGTAGACATACTTGGGATACTTAATGATGCTGCACGTACTTGCTTTAACAATAAAATGTGTTTTATCTTCCATGAGGTAAAAACTTTAATGTTAGTAAAGCTTTCATTTCTATATATATGCATGAAGTTTAACTTAAGGCAAGAAGATCAATTTTACTAACACATTATAAGAGCTTCACTGATTTTAAGTGTTTTCATATTTAGGTAAATCATAAAGTAAAAATGAAAATGGTTTAATGCTAATTATGTTTATAATTCATGTTTATAAAACTAATTTATACAATTTTGGTTATAAAGGCTTTAAAAAGGAATGGGAAATATGTAAATATACAAGAAGTAATGGATCAGTGGACACTCCAGATGGGTTATCCTGTTATCACCATCTTGGGAAATACAACAGCAGAAAACAGAATAATAATTACCCAACAACATTTTATTTATGACATCAGTGCTAAAACTAAAGCACTTGAACTTCAAAATAACAGGTACAACACACTTTGCTACATGAAAAAATTGCTATTATTTTTATTTTCACTTTGCATTTTAATATTTAAAAAGCATTGATAACATAATTCTAAAGTGTTGTAAGTGAAATAGAGTTTTCATTTCTTTATTTAAATATGAGATTTTCAGTTTGATTCCTCTTTACTTCCACTTCTAGATGTTTTAACCATCAAGATGACAGTTCATCAAAGTTATTTTGCTTAGGAAGACAGAATTTAAATTATCATGGTGATTTAAAAAAATAATATGGTTTTTTTACTTTTCTCTGTAAACGTTTGTTGAAATAAATTCAAGAAAGTTAAGATGCATTGAGGTGAATTAAATGGAATTGAGCAAACTGAGATTTATTAACAAATGCGAACAGAAAGTAGCAATCCAGAAAGGCTAATTAAAACAAACAAAAACCCCCACAACTAGACTCAATAATGTCAGAGCCAAAGGAACTCAAACTAGATTCGTTTAAAATGATCTAAGTATTAATGCTTCTTAGTATCAACGTATGTTCTCTTCCCTCAGTTTTAGTGTTTAAAACCACTAACCAGACAACATACATAGAATTTTGATTTGTTGATACTTTAACTTTCTTTTGAAACTCTTATTGAATTACTGGTAATTCAGAACCTAGTGTTTCCTTCTTTTACTTCATGATTTTTACAGTCCTGTGTCTGATTAAAGGCTGAGCCAGGGAAAGAGAGCAGAACGCCTATCAGTCAGTCTCTTTTTTTTTACGAGGTGCCCTAATAGGAGGTAGGGAGCAGAGAACGCGGGGGATAGAGGTTACAATTAATTAATAAAGTGAGAGGTCTGGATCAGGTTGGTCATGGTGTCTCCCAATACCTTGGAAAATTAGGAGTCATCCAACAGCATCTAGGAGATCTGGAATGCACACTAGGTTTACTTCGTTATCTCCAGGAGGAACAGAAATCCTTCTCAAGTAGACTAACTCCAAGACTGGCTATAGGAAGAAGTCACTGAGAAGTTCATGAATGCTTTCTGGTGACTAAATGTGGAACCTGATTTAGGAAAGCATTGTCTTAAATCTCCTACTCGATAAATATGTTGGCCCTCAACAGATTGCCCCTTGCATTCTAACTGGACCTGTGGAATATGGTTTTACCCTGCCACACGGTCAGGCTCTGACTCTGTCAGTGCTTCTTTAACCAGCCTGGATTCCCCAGAGCTGACAAATGCTGCTTCTGATCGCCCACTGTCTGGCCCCAGGCTAAACATGCTTAGGCATCAAGCCCGGCCTTGCCAGGAAGTACATAAAAACTACCTGACGGGGGCAAAGTTAGAGAGATTCAGGCCATGCCTTTGAGGATGATCAGTCTGACATAAGCATCACTGATGCAGAAAAACGTAAAGGGCACATAGATGACAGAACAAATTTTGAACAAAAAGACTCTGTCAATCTATAACATACATCAGGTGTATCAGCCAGGAGTCTGACTCTGTAAAGGAAGAATTTCTCCTAGGCTGTGTAAGTATATGGAACATCTGTACAGCTTTGCCTTTGCTGGAGTTATAAAATCATATGGATGATTTTGAGAACTTGGGATAGAAAGTATTAAGAGTAAGATAATGCATAGCATCCCATTAAACTAAAAAATTATTTTTTATCGATTTTGAAATAGTAGAGCTTAAAGTTGGAAATTTAGTATTCATTTTTAACTTATTTTAAGTTATTAACTTATTAACTCTGTGGTCAAAGCTTCAGGACCAATTCTATTTGCCCTTTGTCTTAGCCTTCCTGGATCGTTATTATCTACGGCAAACAGTTGAGGTAGGAAACGCAGTACCCACCTACACCAGAAATCCTGTGATTTGTGGATGTTTTCTGAGCCACTATAATCAATCCTTTGTCGTGAATTTTGTAGAGGGCGCTAGAATATCACCACAACATACCTAGAACATTGTTAATGTATACAGTAATTATGGTTTTCATATGTAGTCGCTGTATTGCAGCATAGAAAAGAAAGATCTTTACATAATTGCATAAAGTTAGTTGATATGTAAAATGAGTAAACTATTTGCTAAAATTTCATGATTTAGAAGAATACAGGTTAATTACAGCAAAATTATGTTTGTTTGTATTAGGAGCAAATAATATTTCACAAACATTTTATGATCATGCTTCCAAAAAGACAAATTTATTATTGAGGATTTTTATACACCCTCAATTTTATATATTTGTTGCCCTTTAACTGATTCTTATTTGACTCCACAATTTAGTTGACCAACTCAATGTGGGGGATACGTACCAGAAAGCCCTAAGGTTGCTCTCTGTCCCCCTGTACACTGATTTGGTCCCTTTTATTTAACTCCAAGCCGATCCCCCTCAGTCCCGTCCCACAGCAGTTTATGGAATGCCTTCCATTTCCAGGCATTTGCAAGCTCTTAGGTATGCAAAAATGAGCTCCTGGTTTAATTTGGGAATCCTATGCAGAGCAGCCATTGTTGTCTAACTAATTATTCCAGTTAATCAAAAAAGAGTCATTATTCTTAGAGAACGGCTGTTAAAGAAATATATGTCAATTCTCTGTGTCTTCCTCACAGTAAATCCTTTTTTAAGTATTTGTGGCATATTCTTTGTCCTATGGATACTTGGAGTTTGGAGGTGTTTGTTGAAGAGCTCACACGGATTGTGTTCACTGCTAACTACCACCTTAAAAACAATACCTTTGGCTACTGTAGGATGTTTATTTCCTGACCAGTTGGGTGAAGTCCACTGCAGTATAGCACAGTGTCTCCACGAAGTTGACACTCAGAAATGTTTCTCAGTTTAAGTAGAACGTATACCTCTAAAATTTAGAATCTTGAATATATTATTTTAACTTTCTATATTGGAGATAGCAGGTTGTATAAAATTATGAACTTCTTCCAATCTTCCATTTGGATTTTCTACTATTACTGAATTCTGTTTATTGTCAATTGGAAACAGGAAACGATAAAATAATCAAATTCCACCTGGCAGATGGAGATGCTCTGCTCTCCCACCACCTAAAGACGTAGTCACTGTAATGTTAGTCACATAACCGCAGACACGGTCCCTGGAAAATTCTCAATTCTCTGTTCACTCTCACAGCTGCTGAGCTTACCCGCTCTCTCTTTTAAATATTTTTAAAATCAAAAATATTTTTCACAAACTGGATATTGTTGGCTACCCCTGCTGCTAATGGTGCAGTGAGAGGTCAACATACTCAGGCTGTATTTTAGGGAAAGAAACAACATGTAGTCATTGGACTTATTGTAAAACAATCCAGCTTGTCTCTGGGTCCTCCTTTGAGATTAAAGTGATATGGCTTCATGTAAAGTAGAGGGAGGCCTCAATTTTTATTCTATAAAAAGTCAAATTCTAGGAAATGCCTCTCTTTAATAGCTGAGATTCATGACTGATCCCTGCACGCTGGTGGATGATTTCACACGTAAATTTGGAAATTCCGTTTCAGTAAACAGAGCATTAAGTGTGTCCCACTGTGTTTCTTGTATTGATCTGGATTTTAAGGGAATCTGCTTTTGCCTCTCTTTCCTGCTTTGCTGAGTAACTTTAGGTGTGCTGTATTAATCTTTCTGTAAAATATGATGAGTGCTTTTTAGAATAGTTAGATACACAAGGAGAATGTTGAAATGTAAATGCATGAAACCACTGAAGTGTGTATTCATCTAATATAGAAACAAGTAGAAAGGAGTCATTTGGAGACTTTAATCAATACGTGGTGTGGCTCTGATTTATAGATTTTTAGCTCCTTTTTATTCCTAATGCAAAATGCAAGTCTGTTTTTTTTTCCTTTTGCAAGATAAATTGTCTTGTTGGCAAGCCCCTTTTGTATTAAAATTAAAACTCTTAGAAGCCAAATCTGCTTACTGGCATTGAAAGGGTGAATTCATTTTCTTGTCTTCTTCCTTACTCTTATGACTGGGGCATTTTTTTAGTTCCCCTGAAGAGAATAATAAAAATCTCACAGAGGATCTATGGGAAATGTTGTTTGTTTACTTGTTGTAACCTTTTTTATTCTTAAAGCTTCTCTTTTATTTTGCAGTTACCTGTGGCAGATTCCATTAACTATTGTGGTAGGAAATAGAAGCCATGTGTCTTCAGAGGCAATTATTTGGGTGTCTAACAAATCAGGTAAAATATATATTCTCGCCTAAGGAACTGTTTGGTTTCAGATAATTGTTCAGCAACTTAACCTCTGGTTTTAGCTGTTATAAAAATGTGAATAAAGACAAATTAGAAAGAGAATATAGGGGAATGATAATCAATTATCATTAAGTAGAGTAACGTATAATTTCTACATAATCTGATTTCAGTCTGCCTATATAATTATTAAATTTATTTTTGTCTGATGGTAAAGAGAAAATTTAAAACTAAGTATTTGTAGTACTAATTTTAGCTGTTTTAAACTATATAATTCTGTAATCCCAAATGTAATTAAATTATAATCATAACTCCCAATGAAACAGTATGACAAGTACTGAAACACAGGCCACGTTTTTAATTTCATTTTCCTATCTTCTCTTTACGAGGTGGGATCTTTAGAGAACGAGCAAGGCCATATTCCCCCTAGAATTAGATAATTATAGAGCCAGAAGGGAGAGTCCTCCCCCAGGTAGGGTCAACCCTCAAGCAGCAGAGAAAGATGAGAGTCTATTGTATTTCTAAATATCTTCAAATAAGACAGTGACCTATTTCAATTCACTGTCAGAAAGCTGTTTCTTCAGTCCAGTCTAAATCCTTCATGCCAAGTGTGAAACCGATCTCTTTTATTTCTGTTCTCCATTGAATCGAAGAAAAAGCCAATTATCATCTTTTATGTAAGATTTCATTTAGATTTAGATGGTCAAGGATGTCGACATTTTGTTTTTCGTACTCCTTTCTCAAGAACATTCTGCTAATTGATGATATCTTGCTATTTCGTAAGCATCATTTTAAACAGCCACAAATGTTTTTTTGAAATAAGGTGAGATATAAATAAATAAATAACAAAATAAATATTGCTTCTTCCCCTCAGTCTTGCTACTATAAGGGAGCTGTAGGTGCTGAAAATACCTGCACACATACAGACATGAAAAAGTCCTTGCAGCAGAGTCTAATCTGCTTGCCGGAAATATAAACACTTGTATTTTCAGTTGAATTTTTATTCACGTTTGTGTGTTATTGTATTTTTAACACATAATCACATATTATGAAAACATGTGCTTTCATTTATATATAGTGTATAAAACATTCATGTGTAATGTAGCGATGCATTGAAATGCTTACTTTAAAATTTGTTGGTGTTTCTCCTTTTAAATTACTTATTATAATCTCTTCTTTTCATTTCTCGGAGTTAGTACCTATGCCGTGATTCTGAATTCATACTTATTGTGTTATTTGTCTTTCTACTTCCATTATACCTTCATGTAGTTGTTTTATTTATCTACATAATTTGTCATGAAATGATGAGCGAAGGCAGTGAGTTGTTATTATAATGATCTCACTATTAGAATGAAATCATACCTCTATAGAATTGCTAAGAATATGAAATAGAACAGTTGTCAGAAATAAAGCAAAATATTATGTAGAATGGAAATGGGAAATTTAGAAGAGTGCCAAGATATTGATCAGACATCAGGATCAGCCCAAAACTTCACTTTCAAACAGTGCAGGGATTCCGAGCATGTCTGATTCTTCCTGGACGCTTTTCCCAGGACCCTTTCCTCTAACTTCCTAGTCGTTTCCACACTGTTATTCATGGTGTCCTGTTATTCCACACAGAGTGTCCAGAAGAGTGCCGCAGCTTTTCTTGACCAAGAGCCACAGGTTGTTGTATCTGAGAGGCTGTTTCCGTGTTTAGTCTTTCGTTATTAACCAGGAATAATGACAACATGATATTTCAAACCCTGTCTTTGTCTAAAACATCACCCATGTTAACACACAGCGTTGTTACCCAGCTACATAGTTTGTGCAGTGCAGAGCTCTGGGACATGAGGTTCACATAGACTATGATATGAATGGCGCCCTCCTCACCCCAAAATCAGAGTGCAGTCTCCAGAGTGTGTGTGTTATCTTCCAGTAAACCAGAGCAGAGTCTTCTGGCTGATACTAGTTGAAATGGTGAGGTTTTTGTCGCCAATGTTTATACCAAGTAGTAAATGTTCCTTGAAAGCACTTTGTAAATACATAAATAAGGGAGACGTTTCCAAAAATGACCTAATGAAAGGCAACCTTTCTATTTGCCCTGTTTAATCTCATTCTAACTGTATTTGATTTTACCTTGAAGTCATTCATTCTGATGACGAATAGAAAACTGACACCAGGAAAATATTAGGAAAAAGGAAAGATTGTTAACTCTTGTCTCTTTTTATATGTTGCTTGTTCTTCTTTTCAAAATATAGTTAACCAGTATCAATGAAAATGTTTCTCCCTAAAAAACATTAAGAAAATTTTCTGGTCAATTCTTATCAACATATTTTTAAAAAATTCCACCTTTGAATTATAACAATCAGATCGTTTCTATAATGTTTTACTATCAGAAATATAGATTTGATCTCATGAGATACTAAGACAAAATCATTGGTGAATAATATAAAGTATAAATTTGATTTCAATCATCATATACCCTTGACACTTCAATTTTTTTAACCCTTTAGATGAATATCTAACTAATTTCAAATTAAAGCAAAAAGTAGTTTTAAAACCAAGTTTTAACTTATTGAATGCAGGTAAAAAGATTTTTTTCTTTTGTTTTTACTGTGAAAATAGTGAGAAGCAGACATTTCTAAATGTAATAGCTTGCATGTTGACTGGCTATTAATTAATGTGCAATGGAAGGGAATAAATTTAATACCCGATGTTAGGGTAAAAAATATTCAAATAAAAGAGAAACTGATGAAAAGTAGAATAATTTTGTAGCACTTTCCCTAAGCATGGGTTCATATAAGACTCACAATCCTTTAAAGTGAGCATTATTTTTGTCCCCATTTACAAATGAGGAAATCTAACTCTTGAGAAATAACTTGCCCAATGTGTCTTAGGAGCTTGTTTTTCTTTGCTAAATTTATTCCCTCTACCCCCCCCCACACACACACACAGATTTTAACAATTTAGTAGCTCGCTTTGAAGATCTGTCATTCAACTCATTGCCATTGGATACATGCACACGGTTCTTTATAGGTTCAACAGAGCATTCTCTAATTTAATTCTCACTAGAGTCCAGTGGGAAACCACTATGTGTTGTTATACCTGGGTTTATTTCGCATTGTTACTCATCCTACCCTAGTTGACTTTTTTGTTTGTTTGTTTTAAATTCTGATTATTTTGCAACCAGCCAACAGTAAGTAGAAAGGCCTAATCTTCCTTTTTTTATTCCAAAAGAAAGTATAGAATATAAAAACATAAAATATTATAAAATGCCAACTACTCTGTGCCTTGACATAGTCTAAATCTCATGACATTTTGGATACATTCTAAATATAATTTTAAATTCTTATTACTAACACTAGAAATATAACTTCTGTACTTTTTATTATGGTTCTCATCACATCCCCTACCTCATTAGGACATTGGAAAAAATTGCTTTAAAATTCATCGCTTGCCATTAGTTAATTTGAAGAACATTTTAGAGATATAATTAACTAGAATGAACAAGATATTTAAAAACCTATTACAAAATCTTTCATGAAATATTCTCCAAAGATTTCATTTACAACAAAGGCATAAAAACATATTCATGGACAGTAATAACCTTCAGGTTTTACTTATCAACTCAATAAAATCATACTTAAAAACAAGAGATGTCTGCCTTTCTTATTCTTATCAGATGACGTGGAAGGTGTAGGCATTGTTTTCCTATTTTAATTTGTCTCTACTCTATCTATAAGATGTTGAATGGAATAAGTATAAAAACAAGAGCCAAGTATATCACGTAAGGTTCAGTTATGTCAGCTATCTAAAATGTAAACAGAAGGGAACTTTAAAAATAGGTTTACTATCATAGGAATCCATGACCATTTCAAAATTGTAAAAACCTAAATCATGTGTTCATATATTAAACTTGATACTTTAATAATGTAGTTTCTTCAAAAAACAGCCACTTAGACGAAAATGATCAAACTGGCTCTTAACTCAAGAGAATTCAATTGCAATTTTAATATGTTTTGTTATAAATGTCTTAATATTCTTGATGACAGAGTTATGGTTACTCAAGAGAAGCAATGTCCTCAATATTTCAGTCTGAATTTTTCTTTACTGAATTCAGACATCATTAATTAAAATCTCTTTTTATGAAGTTATTTTCGTTTTTAAAAATGCCATATTTTTTTAAATTATTTGTTTTTATTTTTCCCTCTGTAAAATAGGGTGACACTCTAAAAAATTCCCAGAAATTGATTGGATCAACACATTAAATTTTTGAAAGATACGCAAATCCAAAGTATCATTAACTTAGAAAATTATTAATACTTTGGGGCAATATCTGATAGATTTATTTTCCTAAGTACCATGAATTAAGCTGGGTAAAATTTCAAACTAAGATAAATAACCCCTTCTTCCAATGAATCATAGAACTGGAAAGGATCTCAAATGCCATTATTTGGCCCTTAGGTTAACAGGTAAGGGAAGTAGGAACCAAAGGGAGTCAGTGACCTAAGTTCAAACATTTATGGTAGGAGAACAGCAACCCAAATTCCACTCTCCTACTCTTATTCTAATTCTTGTTTCCTACCTTTTCAAATCAATACAAGAATGTGAAGAGAGTATATCATAATACAAGAAATGTGTCATACTATCTTGTATCAATAGAGTAGAACGTGGTAAAAAGGACACTGAAGTCAGGAGACTGGAGAAGAACCGTTCCCCACTTTCTCGGACAATTCGATGAATCTGTCTGAGCCTCATTTCTTTACCTGTTCCAACAGATACTCTTTATTAAAAGTGGTAAGAAGCTGAAGTGCTATTTGGAACATTAAAGATTAGATCTTTATGTTCAGTATACATTTATGTTTAAGTATTTTTTTGTTTTACTGTACATTTTTGAAAATTGGCAATATGTTACACACATTGGATTAATTAGCCCACCCCATTCCAGACCTGAGCAATAAATGATCACCCAATAATTTTTGTGGTATAACTTCTTCCTGTGTGGCTTCTACTTGAGAAAGAGTGCTCTGTAAATTTCTGTGTTTCAAAAAAGAAAAAAGAAAAAGAAAACATGTTTTGTAGTCTGACGTGTAAAAATCTTGATAATAGAGTGAAAATTAGAGGTTGTGCCTCTTACTCAGAACCAACACAAATGGTTTGTGTGATGATTTTCTGGTTTTGAGTCATTGTGGAAAGTAAATAGACCAGTGTGTTTTTTTCCCCCTCCTGGATGTGTGTGTGTGTGTGTGTGTATAAAGTATAAATTTCAAGTCAACTTCATACCTTTTGTAACTTCTATGTCGCATGAGTCCTGAAGACATCAAAACAAAATCATTAGAATTGTGAACTGTAGTTCTGTGAAGTCAATAAACACTGAAATTTAAAGTGAATGGAGGTCTGCATCTGTGCCATATTTGAAGGAGTTAAATATGTAAGTTTTAAGATTGTGTTCCTGGCTTCCTTTAATTGAATTAGCTGGTGAACATAATCAAGTTACCATTTTCCAAAGTGATTCCAATAAGCAGAATTTATTCTCTTTGTTCTAATTACATGTAGAAATATTAGACTCTAATGAGATTCATTTTTTCAACATTATTTATGATGGTGGAAAGTCTGTTATTCATTACTACTTCCAAGAAAGCGTGAGAAAACGGTAAGAAACAACAGTGACTTTCAAATAGATACTTGTTGTTTTAATCACTTCCTTACTGAAGAAAATAAGAGGAATATGTGTCAAAAACTTTTCTTTTATTCTAGGCACATATCGACATACAATCTAACTAGAAGCCACATGAATATAGTAGTAGATTTCTTGCTTACATTTATTCTGAGGAAGAAAATTATGTATAGGTAATGGGGTTTTATTGAGAACAAAAATGTTAATTATAAGAAGACAATTAATTGAGGTAATGAGTAACCAATTAAAAGTTTTCTAGGAAATTCTAGATATAGCAAATAGTTGATTAAAGAGCAGATTTCAATTAGGTATTTAAGGTGGTGTTCTCTTTTACTTATTGATACTGTGATGTCTGGTATTAAGAAAACGTACTTCATCCCATTTTAGCCCTTAAAATTTTAAATCTATTTTACCCCCCAAAATGCTGTTTTCAGAGCACCACAGAATAACTTCTTTGGACAAAGGAAGCTGGTTGCTGGGGAACATCAACCAAACTGGCTATTTTAGAGTCAACTATGACTTAAGGAATTGGAGATTGTTAATTGATCAGTTGATCAGGAACCATGAGGTAAATTGGATATACTCATCTGTTTTGATATGTGAGCACCTGCCATTTTAATCCTAAGTGATTTCGTTTTCTTTCTGGTTGGGCTCGTAGATCCTCTCTGTCAGTAACCGCGCAGGTTTGATCGACGACGCCTTCAGCCTAGCCAGGTATGTTTCCTGTGGGTCTGCAAAATGGACCTCCGGCTGGTAAGACTTCCTCTATTAAGCTAAATACTATATGTGTTTTGAATAAGAAATCTTCTAAAACAATTTCTATCCCACGTTCTTTGTGTTTTGATATGAATTATAATAAGTCTCAAACTCTTGGTCAATAGTAGACATGGGGTGTTTCTAAGTTAGGAGTAACTTGGTCAATTTTTGCTGCAAGTTCAATTGAACACTCTGGAGATTAGTAATCACTCTTCACTTTCATTAATGAGCTCGACAGAAGGACCATTGTGACATATTCAGTTTTTGATGGAAAATACCTTCAAGCATCAGCAGTTTTTTTTCCTGACATATACTAGTATATCTTTTTTTAATGTTTATTTGAATGTCATTCATTTTGAAAATCTTGTGCTGCTAGACAGAAATAACTATTGCACAGGTAAAGCTTTACTGGACAAAATAGATATCAATCTTGTAGCAGAAGCCTTTGGTTTTACTAGTTATAGTAATATTTGTGTTATTTTCATCATTATGTATATATCTTAAGATCTGTTATTTTTTGAATAGCCATTAAATAGTTATTTGTTTGAAATACCATTGATCGTAAACTCAAGCTATTTACTCAATTTTGAGACTAAATAGTAAGATAAATTCAGTCCTTTTAATATTTTGTATTGTTTCACATCCAAGTACAGTTTTAATTTTAATAATCTGACATTATAAGCTAAAGATTAGGACAGGGATAATTCTCATTACTTACCTGTTTTTTGTGATTTACCACATTTTCTCCTATGATAATTGTGTGAAACCAGTTAGATATGTCTGTGCTGATAAAATACATAACTTATTTTAGTAATAAGCATTGTTTCATACATGGGGCCTGAAACTGCCTTTACAATTTGTGTATTTAATTGAATTTCAATTCTTCCATATCACACCCTGTACCATCCTCATCCATTGGAACTAATGAGCTGAAATATAGAAGCTTGGTAATTACTGACATGGAAGCACAGTCAAAGTTTGGGGTCAGGTTACAGAGGTTGGTTTTTGCAGAAAGAAGTAATGTAGTGGGGAGAACAGTAAGGAAGGGTAAAGAAGAAATTTCAGATGCTTTCTTGTTAGAAAAAGAAAAAACCTCTGACCTTTGCCTTCCTTGTCATCACTAAGGAAACCAAGAACCACACTGATATGTTCTCCTACTCGGTAAGTGGCGCTGTCCCAGGGCCTCGCTCTCACTAGGCATGGAGTGTTTCAGGCCCAGAATTGCCTACTAACTCAATGGCACATCCAAGGACATTTTGTCAACAAGGAAATTTCTAATGAAATTGTACCAGGTGAATGTATTCGTTTAATAAGAACCAGGGTTCACTTCCAGCAAAGGGTAGATGAAGTCTTTTCCTTACCATGGCACCATCTTATTGGGCGAAAATTTAGAAATAATAGAGGTGGAGGAAGGTCTCCTGAGATGACAATATGTAGAGAGAATGATAAAGATGTAGTTTTTGCTCTACGGTAATATACGAAGACTTTGAAGGAAGTGTGAGGTATAATGTGAAGATTATTTTGACATAGAAGTTTAGAGAGTCTAGGCAGCCAGAAAGAGAAGGTACTGAATGTAACTTTGCACTGAGAGAGAAGCAGGAAAAAGAGAGAGAGGTGTATTAAGAGAACCATAAGGAAAGGTTTGTGAACTAGGAGAGAATTAATATCACTAGCTAATAATTATTAGCACTTATAAGACTCCAGACAGTGTTCTGTTTTACTTATAGTAACTTGTTTAATTCTCATAGCACCTTATGAGATATGTAGATATGTAATATTACTATTATTTCCATTGTATAGGTGAGGAAACTGAGGCTCAGAGAGGTCAAGTAACTTGTCTAAAGTCACACAGATAGTAATTGACAGGGCCAGGCTTCATCCATGTGGTCTGGCTGCAGAGACCATGCTGTTAACCAGAAGTATATATACATATATATCTCAGCAGTAATATGATTTATTTTGATAAAAGTTTCAGAAAATATAGACTGAAAGGATTTGAAACAGTAGTTCATGTGAATCCTTATGGGTTTGAAATGATGGTGAGAACACAAATAAGTAGTGATGTCATAAATAAGTAGTGATATCATAAATAGGTAGTGATGTCATAAAGACAGAGGACAGATGGGAATTGAAAGGAATGCATCTTTTTTTTTTCAAGGTCATAATGGCTTATAACATTCTGAAATTTCAGGTGTAAATGAATTATTATTTGTCAGTCACCATATAAATGTGCCCATTTACCCTTTGTGCCCGCAGCCCAACCCTCTTTCCCTCTCTCCCTCTGGTAACCACTAATCTGTTCTCTTTATCTGTGTGTTTGTTTAGCTTCCATATGTGAGTGACATCATGCAGTGTTTGTATTTGTCTGGATTATTTTGCTTTACATAATACCCTCAAGGTCCATCCATGTTGTTGCAAATGGGACTATTTTGTCTTTTTTATGGCTGAGTAGTATTCCCTTATATATATACACCACATCTTCTTTATCCAATCATCAGTCAGTAGGCACTTGGGTTGTTTCCACCTCTTGGTTATTGTGACTAATGCTGCAGTGAACGTAGGGGTGTCTAAGTCTCTTTGAATTGCTGATTTCCAGCTCTTTGGATAAATACCCAGTAGTGGGATAGCTGGATGGTACGGTATTTCTATTTTTAATTTTTCGAGAAATGTGCATACTGTTTTCCATAGTAGCTGCACCAGTTTGCATTCCCACCAGCAGTGTATGAGGGTTTCCTTTTCTCCACATTGTCTCCAACATTTGTTGTTTTTTGTCTTGGTAATTATAGCCATTCTAATGGGCATAAGATGATATCTAAGTGTAGTTTTGATTTGCATTAAGAAGGGATCTTTTGATTCATCTGCACTAAATGATAGAAGTACTTTTTAAATGGAATATTTTATTTAATTTTAGTGGATGAATTTTTTTTTCGGAAATTAAATTCCTTATTGACTAAAGCCTATAATTGCTTTCATTTCCAATTTTAGAAGCCTTAAAGTTTGAAGTAAACAATTTCATTGCCATTTGTACAAATTCACCAGGAAAATATGCAAATCTTATTGAATATATATTAAAATTTATTTTGCTGATCATGAGATAATTTTCCTTTTCGTGTGCAAGTAAAGAAATACAAAATAAGAATTATTAAGGCAAATGCCCTACACTTACTTGGAGTTCAAAGTTATTCATATTTCATTGTATTCTAGTAAATGATTCATAGTTTTGCTACCAATTGGTATCAACCTTCTTTCAGTTTCCTGGACACATCATACTTTCTTTGACTTCTTAGATAACAAGTCAAAGAATAGCAAATATTTATTAAAATGCACGTTCCGGGTACTGCACTGAGGCTCTGAGGGATGGCCTTGTTCGGTGTTCTCAGTGACCCATGGAGTGGTGTGGCTGCCATAGCCACTGTGTGGGTGAGACAAGGAGCTCAGGAGGAGTTAAGTCACTCAGCTAAGGTTGCACAGCCTTTCAGTAGGGGTGGGGGCTGGGATTCAACCCCAGGCAGTGGCACTGCAGAGCCCATGACCTCAAGTCACAGTGCTTTTGCCCATTATGTGAAATTCCTTCCCACCTTTCTGCCCCTTGTCTGCTGGGAATATTACTATTCAGCTAAAACACTATTTCACTTGCACTCCCTTACCTGAAGCCTTCTCTGTCCTCCCCAGCAGGAGTAAGGTGACATCCTGTAAACCTGTGTTATAGTAGTTGTCACCTTGTAGCTCAGCCACGTACTCTCCTGGGTCCCTGGTGACTCTTGCATGATCTGAAGGACAAGCCTTTGTCTCTTCCTTGTATTACTGCTGCCTAACTTAACCTCTGGGGCCAATATCTGCTTGTTGTGTGAATTGATGATTAATTGTTAGCCATTCACACTATAAAATTCCGTTCCACTATTTCTGTACAGTTGAGTAAACATACGCTACATATTCTTTTTATGGTTGTTTTTTAAATGTATAAAACCACACGAACGCACTCTAATTGTACAAGATTAAAACAAAAGAAAAATACATTGAGAAAATTTTCTTTTACTCCCTCCCCTGCTCTGCCATCACTTTGCCCTCCTCAGAGGTAAAATGATTACTATTCAGTGTGTATCAATCCGCAATTTTTTCTTTACATTTCCATACATTTTAATTCTTTTTACATGAACAGAAATGCATTTTGTTCTCTGATTCATTTATCACAATATGTCTGGGAGCTTTATTCCATTGTTTCTAATTTTTCATTATTGTATCAAGACTGCAGTGAGTTCCCTTGATAGTCTTTTGCTGTGCATATGTGTATTTTTATAGGATTGATTCCCGCAAGTTGAATTTTTGGTTCAAAGAGTATAAAATTTTTGATAAATATTACAAATCATATTCCCAAGACGTGCCCAGTTTCACCCTCCATCAACCAGGTATGAGAGAGCCCAGTTCCCACAAACCCTCCATGAGAATGAAGAGTGTGCCCCTTTACGTTTTGACAATCTTTTCACAAAGAATTTTTTGAAGTTGTTATAGTATTAGTTAAGTTAATTTGCGCTTCAAATTGCTACATTTGTTGTTCGTATTTTTTTTCTGTGAATTGTTACCTGATTAAAAAAGGAAAGATAAAACCTAATAGAAGATGGGTGAGGTCTTTTCCCTATTCTATTTTCCTATAGGTTTTGGATGTTTTCCAATATTAATCCCTTTTGTAAAACACATTTTTATAGTATTTTCTCTCAATACTATGTCATTTTTTTTGTTCATTTGTGATGTGTTTCACCAATCAAAGGCTTTTAATTTGTATGTCAAGTGATTCCTTTTATAGCTTCCTGATTCTCTGCTTCTGTCTTCCATGAAGACCTTCTCCTTCTGAAGATTTTAAAAATTCTCCCCCCTTTTCTTTAAACACTATTTCGTTTTCGCATCTATCTCCTCAGTCCTCCCTTCTCTAATTTTTGTGTATAGAAAGGAGTGGGGTCTAA